TGCTATTTGAAATTCTAATACGTAACAAATGACAATGGAATCATGTTGGGTAAACGAAGTCTAACAGAAAAGAAGAACAAAACATTTTATTTACAGACGTTTCGAACGTTTCCGAATACATTTCTTCCATCTTTAGCGAAATATGGAAATAATATTATAATAATATTTATTAAATATTAGTTCGAGCTGAATTTGAAGGTAGAAGGTTTTCTTTCAGGAAGAGAGTTGTATTTAATTTATAACGTTTGAGAGCCTATAAAACGAAGGCAGGTAATGAGGGGAAATTTGGAGACAGTGTACAAAGTACGGGTGGCTGAAATATATATTGTTTAGAAATTTTCGAGTAAAGTTTGTTAGAAACCCAGGGGGATGGCCATTTTTAAGAGGTGTTTGTGCAGAAGTGTAATTTCTCCGTGCAAAATAGAGTATTAATATATCTAGACCTAGCCTTAAGATTAAACATTTCTTTTGGTACAGAGAACGAATACCAACACTTCCACGTTCATGGCTCATGGTAATGACTGTACAAGGTCACGTACATCGGCAAAAACAAAAGCTCCACTTAAACACTAGAGTCTGTGAACATTTAGGAGTATTAAATAGGACAAACTGTCCACTAATTAAACCTAGCTACTCATTTATTCATTCACATGTTGAAACCACAAGGCACAATATTTCATATGACGATTTCTCTATCATTACTATAGTATCTTCAGACCTTGAAATTCCGCATTAAAAAACAGCTTGCTCATAGCCAAAGACCGTCAGGCTTTTAATAACTTACAAACATCCTTAGACCTAAAATTATCCTAAATATTTTCACTTTACACTCAGTTCGTTTATTAAGAATAGTTACAATTATAACTTGATATCTTATGCAACTTGTAACTTATGCTACTTCCGCTACATATTCTATAATCTGTACTTCCTTCCTTTTGCCACTTTACTGAATATTTTAAGTGAATTAGTAAATAAAGTTACTATAGTATTAGTTAATAAATATAATATAAAATAATTTCTAGATCTCGCTGAAAATGAAATTACTGTATTCCAAAACGTTCGAAGTTTCTGAAAATAAAAATATTTTGTGTCTTGTCAAACGTCTTCATCGTTATTACTGTATACTTCGTAATTCAGCTTTCTGTTTAAAAAACTTTGGATACTATGCTTGGATTTTTAAAAGGCTAACTTACCTTATGTATTTTCTAACTTCGTGGGCAGATTTACCGCTAGGTGGGGCTTCAATAACTGTTTTAATAAATATATATTAAACAAAAAGAAAGAGAAATATGGGTACATTTTAAGTTTTAATGTTATTGAACTTCATTAACAATCTTTTTAAAGCACATGAAAAATTTTAATATTTAGCAACAAACATTGAATATACCGTAAAAATGTACACCATTGACTTTGACTAAACAAGCAATATAAATTAAATAAAATCGAGCTACTAGCTGTAGTTTTTAGGTTTCATTATCAAACTATCAGCAAAATCGATAGAAACGAGCTATTTGAAAGACCTTTTAAGATATTATCATCATCAAATAATTGATTCGTTTACTTATTGATTTTAGACGTAATAGTTTCAACGTTATGATTGAAACCCAAAAAATAAAATGGTTAAATAAATTATCACAAGTATTAAATGGGTGTTTCATAAATTACCGTAGTTAGTTTCAGGCATTAATTTCCTAGTTTAGACAAACAAGTTTTATCAGAGATCATATTAAGGTTATAACTTATGGCGCTGAAACTACAAAAAATAATTGTTTAACACATGAAATAGTTTTCATTTCATCTAGATTTGTAATATCATATATTCCAAAAGTTAATAATATTAGACTTTACTGATTGGTTTACAGTGGAATGAATATGTCCGAAAGATAGTGATTTGGCTATTGTATTCTTATTAAAGAACAAACAAATAATTAGGTATACATCTTTTGGCTCAATAACAATTTCAGTCACTTACACTTGATAGATTTCTTCTATATTGCTTTACGTTCTCACATGTAATGTGTCTCTTAACTACACCAAACCCCCCATGAAATATTCTGAAATATTCGATTAATAAAGTTATTATTCGCTCCTACATGTCATCAATTATTCAGATTATAAATTACTGGTTATGGCACGAAAATGTGGTAATTCTCACTTTAATGATTTTTTTTTTAAAATCATTTGGGACTAATTGTATTGTCACTGACGTTGGAAAACTATGTTACAAAATTTAATCTAGGAAAAGATTCTCATTTTTTAAGATTCGTTCAGCATCCTTTAAGGAAAAGTCTGACTCGATTTTCTGTAAGAGAAAACTTTTCCAAACCTTTCCCATCTATGTTGCACAATCAAAGTGTGGTAAAATGTTTTTCTGTAACTTTTACTACAGAATACCTAACTTTCAACCATTGTATGTTAACGCGAAATTAGAAATGTCATTAATTAACCATAGAATTACAATAGAATTAACCATAAATTACTAACTAAAGATATGATAGATTTCATGTTTTCAGAACTAAATTTTTTGATTAAGATTTTCACTTAGAAGAGATAGAAACCTGTGTTATTAACGAGTCAGAAGCTTCATTTGCGATCATAGGCCTTTCTAAATATAGGCAAATCGTATACTAAAACGTTTTTTAAGCAATACTTATAAAAGGGCATAAGATTATTTCAATGTATCCCAGTTTATTATTTTCATACGTACAGTCAACTAAGGCAGTGACTTTTAAAGTTTAGTCAAATTTAAGAAATTTAAATATTCTACACTTACACAGAAAATTATGAATTTAGTAATTTCTGATTGGATATTTTGAATGAACTACTCTTACATCGTATAATGAAAAATTCGTCGTGAACTTTCTGGCTTTTCTGACAGTTGCATGATTCAAAAACTCACCAAAAAACTATTACCACAATTTGTGTTTATAACGTACTTTAAAATGTTTATGGGGGTTGGGGTAGGTATTTCTTCCAGAAAATCAAATCACATTAGAAGTTTTCTTATAAAGGGTATTGAACAAAGTATGAACCTAGCTTACTTCTTCCAGACTAATTCACCTCGTTCACCTCGTTTCGTAAAGAAAGCCCTGGTCATTTTAAGGTATTGTGTACCGTACAATCATTACTATACCAATGTCATTGAGAGAATTAGATTTTGTACAAACACAACACTTTTAAAAGTAGAGTAAACTAGTTTCTACATGTAATATCTATTCTGACCACACCCCATAGACATATCTACCAATATGGAATAAAATAAAGTAACAAAAAGGGTACCATAGTTAAACACTAAAAACTATTGTGACCAACCACCTCGAGACAGACCATGCTCAGACACACAATATTAACGCTCTCGAGACTACGATATCTATTGACGCTAATGTCATTCCTTACAAGTCGCTGTCACAAAACATTTTAAGCAACAGTTTAGTTATGTTAATACAAATTAGTGTGGCTACAACTTTGAAAGCCATAGATTAGACATGTGAACACATATGATAAACCCTTACAAAGTAGAGAACAATCCTGTCATGTACGGAATATATACATGGTGACCCAATTTATGCCATTCCAAATCCGATGTGCTCAAACACAAAAATTGGTTAGCTCAATAAATCACACTAAAAACGTTGATAGTGCCAATGAAAATATTTTGGATATGTAATATTGAACAGATCTGGTCCCAATTTTGAAAGTGCCGTTGTATATGAAATTATAAAAAGCCTGAACCACACTGTAGAAACATCATAAAACACAATTGTAACCATTCAATTGAAAAATATAGATTAGATATATTATACAAAAAACATGGGTCACTTAATAATATATCGTAAGCACGTGTATGCAATAATGAGTTAGTTATCACATTTTTAAAAATGTGCGATAGGTGTGATATACATAAACTGTGATGCCAATTACCTGGATAATGTAAAAAGTACACTGAATGTTAAACAAAAAAAAATGTAGTCACTTAGCCTGCGGTAATGTAATATGAGCAGCTATACTTTGTAAATACCTGATTTATTTTCCCTTTACTGTGACTAACACCTATAGCTTATGCTATGATACTTTGTTTTCTTTAAATTCCACGTATTATTTAAAGTCTTTGACGGATTTATTATTATATATTTATTTTAATATCGACTTTTGTTTAGATTAAATTTATATTTAGAAACATGCATAGCTTATAGTGTTGAATATGTATTGTGAAACTCCCGCTTATCCTCTAAAGTTGTAGAAGATTCTCGAGTGTAAGAATCAACAATATATGTATGAACGTAAACGCTTAATGTAGCTTTGTATTGTTACGTAATCTGAATTTTTCTAGAAACTCTCCACACGCCTACAAATATAACCAACGCGACGCGCCAAAAAAGAGTAAATATTATTAGTTTGCTATGGTCAGTGTGCTATAAACTTTGGAAGCTATAACTGTGATTGTTATAACGCTTATCAATCGGAAAACTTCAGATATTTGACCAGGAGCACTTACAAAGTTCAAACATTACAAATCATTTTACTTCAGTGGATTCTCATCGGACACTAGTACTTTTACAGAAACATTATCTAACTTCAACGGTGGAAAATTCAGCGTGTGTGGCTGGTTAATAATGAAGGACAAAGCTAGCTAGCTTCCCGTTAATCGAATCGCACCTACATCAACTCGTAATTAACTCGCTCATCGGGAACTCTCGATAAGATATCAAGGAAGTTCCAGACTAGAAAAAATACTTTATATTGCTTGTAAGTTTGTAACATTTTTGTATGTAAATCATTGTGTGTAATACTATTGGTAATAACTGTTATTGTAACTTGTTGTTTGTATATTAAAATATATTTGTGTTTAAAAAAAGAAACTGTGAGCATCAATCTTGTTGGCAATTATCATAAACTGACTATATATCGGCTTTTAA